GTTATTATTGTGGAGGTCCGAACGGCAAGCACGGTCACTGCTCCTCTATCTATTGTGGAGGTCCACGGGAAAAGTCGGTCATGCTTTTACTTCATATGTGGAATTCCGGTTCCTCGCGGTGAACGGTCATGAGCCTTATATGAACATTGTGAGGAGTCCAGCGGGAAGCGGTCATGCTTAACTTACTTGAGGTCCCAGCAGGAAGACGTTCGTTCCTCCTCTCACTCGGCTTGAATTCTATAAACACGATCAAGCAGAACGCATCCTACCACGCCAGACAGACTCACGCTCCAGTGTCCTTCCAGCGCCATGATGAGTGGTTTTGCCGCGTTAATCCTACCGAGCTCACCAGAGCTTTCCGCGACTCATTTGAACGATACATGAGACGGGCATAAAACCAATAAAATTTACTCCGCGCGCAGATTACCCGCATGCCTCTGATAAGAAACCGCGGAACAACACGCCGTGTTTAGCGCTGCTCATCGGTCAGCTAGTACTCGGTGTCATATATCAAGTCCACTGAACCGTTCCAGCATAAGTTAACTACCGGAATATAACGTCAGCTAAATAGAGATCGCACTAGTGCAATCCATAAATAAGACTCACAATAACCACATATTCGAACATGAATAATTTAAACATATCCACCACAAACAAATACCAAATCAAGACGATTACATGTATTTTTAAGGTTGAAATTTTTATCTATTTATAATTAGTATATAAAGAGCAACATAATTCAATACACATTATCATGTCACTTTCCTCTCACTTAACCCTCACATCTTATTAACAATAAATCACGAAAATATTTTGGTACTCTATTTCATGAAACAATGTAATACAGAAATCAAGATCTGAACAGACAAAAAGATGCTAAGAAGGACACTTGAATCTAACACATCTATGATAATATCAACACCATGTAACCACCCTATGACATATATAAAAAATAATTAACTTTGCGCCTCCTGTCTGAATTATCATGAACCAGAAGATTATAGCAATAATCATACATTTACCTGAGGCAATATTTGAAATAACATAACTATGCGCTTCCCTGTTTAATTAAATGAGAAACAAACTATTACTATGGCTACAATAAGCTCCACACTTTACCCACCCAAATATAGTATAAGAAAATCCATTCTCTCCTCACAAGACCACATTAAACAAACGAACAAAATGATAATATACTCAACTCCCCAATATAGAAAATGGATTCTATCTAATCACTGTGACTGCCAACAAACGAAGTTCTACCACCATGTAATATCATATTACCTCCAGATCATACAGAAGTATACACTTCTCAATGATTGACCAATATCATATATCCAAAGTCCGCTCAACATAGAAGACTATTTATTATCCATATGAAAATCTGCTTGAAAACTTGCAGCGCACAATTCTGAAAAATAAACTAATTCTACACATTACAATATAATACACATATAAAACACAACAATAATAATAATCTAACAATCTCATATAATGGCCACGGAACATAATAATCCGACTGTATGACATACACAGAAAAGTCATATAAAATGGCCGATAAACCTAATAAGACTAATCTCCACCCAATATACAACTTCAATCAATTCAATTCTAAGCGCACACACCTAATGTCTGCGAAACATCGAATACTATAACTGGTCCACTCCACTCCTCTCCTGCTTACCAGTCCCAGTTCCAGCTGTTATCTTTTCTCCTCATATTATCCTTTCTGATTGCTGTTGTTACTCTGCATCATACTATCTATTAGAATCCTCCATATCTCTCACTTCCATGATACTCTCACCCAGGATATCGATAAATTTAACAGACATCCGTCGGGATATGTGACCCACAACCTTAGAACAAGGAGAGAGAGCGGAAACAGAGAATGTTTAGAGTTATTGTACTATAAAGTAATTCTAGTTCATACTGTATTTCATATTGGATTATGATTAATGATAAGGATGTAAAAAACATTCTAGTTGAACATACCAAATGTAAAAAAATCTTGGTAAATAAACATTAACAATACACTCAATAAATCCCTTCCTGCGATAGCTATTCACGATAATACCCCACCTGCCTGTATATAACATATATCCTTATAATCCATTAACTAAAGCTTGGTTCTGGAATGCCTTGTGTACCCTACGTGTCTATTCAAACCACGACAAATATAACCCATATGTCACACTTGCAAAAGTAACTAATAACCTATCCAACACACGCTCACTCCAATTAGAGAAAATAAAAATAATATCAATTACGTTCGTTCTCACTTATTATCTTACACTCTCTTCTCACCTAAGTCAATAACACCAATTACACTACAACACCCCGACTAAAAAAACATTCACACTCTAACGAACCATAATATTAATCATTAAACAGAACAAAACACTAACAATACGATTAAAACTAGTCATTTATATTGGAAACAATACACACGTATGAATTGAAAGTGTAAAATTCGCTCCACCACCCCAAACTATAACACACCCCACACTCTAACCACGCATCCCCACCTAGAGATGCCTGAAACACTGAGACAAACCCATGATGTCAAAACAACCATGTTCATACAACAATGAACGAACAAGTTATATAGATTAGATTATACCCATCATCAGCCTTCTCTCTAATGAGCAGAGACCCTGGCACCGCAACAGTACCATCGCACGATCCAGCACAACACGAGGTCCAACTGACGCCACAAATATGACATCAACTCAATGGGTGACTACATGTTCAGCAACCACATGTTGGTTCCGCCACCCCTCCAACCGTTACTCATAGTCAGTCATAAACCGCCTTTGTCCTCCGTCATAGAGAAGACAGTGAGCTGTTTCTGGCGTAATACTTTTGGCCTTCCACTACTTCCTCGTTGGTACACAGGCGCAGGCGACCGCTCGTCTTTCCAACAATCAAAAGGGAATATTCTGCATTATGCGGCCAGCCGCGAGGTACTGGTGCGTGAGCCACACTGCACTCCTGTGCACCGGCGACCGCCAGATCACAGTCTTACTCATGCTACTGCACGCCGAACCTGTGGGAAGTATGACGCCTGAGTAGTAGTGATCGATGTTCCATGTCCCAGTACAAACATTGGAAATAACGATAAGAATCTTTGTGCTCACTGATTAACATCGTGAATAATTCATATTATTTTTGTAATCGAACTCTTATTTGTTGGTACATAAATCACCTAACTACACAGCTACCATTTTTCAGTTTCATCTTTAATCAGTTTTGTCACCTCTTATGTTTAGCCCTGGCTTCCTAATTGCTGCTTGCAGACACAACACAAGCCTATCGAGCCTGCTGGAGCTGCGACGAAGGACCACACGCCGAACGTTGGACGCCAAAGAATTGGTGGATCATCACCCTATATCGCAGACGACGCACGCAACATCCCACTGCCCACCAATTACTGAATATCCACGCGCCTCACCCGTTTCACTAAAATATCATCCCAGACCCGTGGCGTGTGTCGTTCCAATTGCCTCTGGTTAACAAAACATAGCAAAGGAGACACCAACTTGTGATCCGCGGACACAAAACCATTTGGGAGAGAGAGAAGAAAAAAACACCCACCCTCGGAGGCACTGAGGGACTGAGCGACAGTGTAACACAACCTAATGGCCATGAACCAGACACTACACCGAGAGTGGCAATATATCACATCAACAATGCACTGCATAGCATCTTATACAAATCATCCCAAGCCTAATATATTAAAACAAAGCCCACCGCCGGCCTGCTAAAATGAGTAAACCGCTTCTCTATCATTGCCAACTATACCCAGAGGGCAAGTGCGTTTCATTATAAATTCACACCCTGCACTCCTCTCCAACTCGCGACCATCCTTTACACCCTACACACCACGCACAGTCTCCTCAAGTGGATTCACCTCCAGCTGCGACGTACTGTCCGATTAAGTCTCATACCACAACCGCGGCTGAAGCGTACAAGACAACGGGAAGTCATTCTGGAAACTACAAATCTAGAATACGCCGCCCTAATGGCACTACGTGATCGACGACATAACCGCAACTCAATCTCAAGCAACAACCCTTCATTTCAGATATTCTAGCTTAGCTATAAAAATTTATTATGACTCTCATTCTTTGATTTTAAGGGTTCGTAAAAACATTGCTTCTACACAGAAGAATACTAGCACAGTGAACGCATCAAATCTGCTCAACTATTTGGTTCACACGCCTCATAGAATGAGAAGAAAAAACAATGCTTCAAACCAAAGATTAGTAATGCCACACCAGATGAGATCTCGATACCGATCAGGATAGAACGCAACACAATAAGACACCTAAATAGTAGGCCTCTCCTCCAGCAGTGACGTAGAATAAAAAATAATGAATTTCAACAAGAACAAATAACAGAAATTCAGTACAGAAAACATCTCGTGTGACAGGTTCCTAAAACAAGGAGAACCATACACTGCTACTATGAATCACTATTATAATAGAGAGTATTACGAGAGCATCTCATTATATTTAAAAAAACTCAATGGATTAGACTATGAATATACACCAAATGACACCAATCACACCATATCCACACAAAATAACAAACTCTTAACTGCAGTCTTGTAATAAATAAAAAAATAAAAGACTCTCATTCAACCCAAGCACGAATTGTAGTAATGTTTCGAAGATTATAACATAGATATATCACTAGTGGAGAAGTTGCTAGATTGTCCATGCGAAAAACAAAAACAAACACCGGAAAAAAGTTCGTGGTGTTCGTGTTAACTAAAGCGAGATGGAAAACCATGAAGACAGAGCCCGATATATATACGCCTTAAATAAACGACGACAATGGACCGAAAGGCTAAGTTATCCTTTTCTTACACTCCAATACAAATGCTCGACTAATCAGCACACGCCCAACGGCTGGATGCATATACGACCACGGTGAAATGTACTCAATAGTATCTATAAACATATCAGTGTGACTCATGCATATACCAGTGCACTCCAGAATAACGCAGGTATTCACTGCGCTTCATTTTTTCCACATTATGATAGTGATACATATCTATTACAAACATGGATTTACAAAAAAAAATTCATGCCAGGATTATCACTATCACAGAATCATACACTACCCCTTGTGCCACTTACTGAGCTCCAACGCGCGCGCGGAAATCAATTGCCCACAGATATCCACTACACCTCTATCCTCCGTTGTTAAACTCTGTTTCTCTTACAACTCTAATGATTCCCACTCGTCTGTCGGTGAAAATACATATATCATGAAACCTTCGGACTTGCCGACGTGATTCTTAGGTAACAGAGACGCATCCAGCACAAGTCAATCAAGGATCCCAACAGCCGTTACCCCCTGTCTATAATCGAGCGTCCCGACAGTTGACAGTGCATGTCAGAGACAAACCAAGCCATGAAGTCCAAGGAATTGTCTGTAGACCTCTGAGACAGGATTGTAGGCACAGATCTGGTACAGAAAACATTCTGCAGCTTTGAAGGTCCCAATGATCACACTGGCCTCCATAATCCTTAAATGGAAGAAGTTTGGGACGACCAGAACTCTTCCTAGACCTGGCCGTCCAAACTCGGCCGATTGTGGAAGAACGGCCTTAGTCAGGGAGGTGACCAAGAACCTGATGGTCACTCTGACAAAGCTCCAGCGTTGCTCTGTGGAGAGAGGAGAACCTTCCAGAAGGACCACCATCTCTGCAGCACTCCACCAATCAGGTCTGTATGGTAGAGTGGACAGACAGAAGCCACTCCTCAGTAAAACCTGAAGGACTCTCAGACCACGAGAAACAAAATACTCTGGTCTGATAAAAGAAAGATTGAACTCCTTGGCCTGAGGGAGCGAGTGAACGAATGCCAAGCGTAATGTCTGGAGGAAACCAGGCACGACTCATCACCAGTACCGTCCCTACGGTGAAACATGGCGGTGGCAGTACCGTCCCTAAAGTGAAGCATGGCGGTGGCAACATCACACTGTGGGGACGAACTGGGAGACGAGTCACGATGGAGGGAAAGATAAACGCAGCAATGTTAAGAGACATCCTTGATGAAAACCTGCACCAGGAGCTCTGGACCTCAGACTGGGGCGAAGGTTCATCTTCTAACAGGACAACGACCCAAATGAGACACAGCCGAGATCACAAAGGAGGGGCTCCACTCTGTGGATGTCCTTGACTGGCCCAGCCAGAGCCCTGACCTAAACCCAATTGAGCATCTCTGGAGAGACCTGAAAATGGCTGTCCACCAACGCTCACCATCCAACCTGATGGAGCTTGAAAGGTTCTGAAAAGACTGCTGAGCTTATAGCATCACACTCACAAAGCCTGGAGGCTGTAATTGCTGCCAAAGGTGCTTCAACAAATTATTGAGCAAAGGCTGTAAATACTTATGTTCACATGATTTATTTATTTTTTTGGCTTTTTATTTTAAATACATTTGTAAACGAACTTTTTTTCCGGTTGTTTGTTTTTGTTTGTTACCATGAATCATGACATTTCACTGGTTTTGTTATTGATTACTAAATTTCTGGTATGATGAGGTCACTAATTTATATTTTTATAATATTATATTACACACAGACTGCAGTTACCAGAGCTTGTTATGTTTGTGTGGATCAATGCCTGTGATTGGTCGATTTCTTCTTTTTGTGTCATATTGATCTGATATTGAGCTGTTGTTTAAATCTTATGGGGTCTGTAAAGTTCTACTGTAAATGAAACCACAGAAGAAGATGTACCATGGTCTCGTTCAGTCAGAATCAGAAATACTTTATCGATCCGCTGGGGGGGAAACTAAACATTGGCCGTTTGCTGTCGGCGCCCCCTGCAGGCCCGAACTCATCCTGACGGTGCTGGACGGCCTCGACGTTCGAATCCCGCGCAACGTTTCCCGCTTTCTGTCGGAGCAGCAACACGCCCACTTCCTGGAGTGCCGTTACCGTGACGCACGCAACTTCCTGCAGGTCAGAGAGAACATCAGGCTTTTATTGTGAAAGGGAAGAAATAAAACCGGGAGTAAAAGTGAAAATGGTAAAAATAAATAAATGAATGAGGAAATGAATAGATGAATGAATGTATGGATCAGGGTGAGTGCTGAACTTGACCTGTGGATCCAACAACAGTCACATTCTGCTGCTTTCACCACTAATCACACTAATTACAGCAAGAAACCGAAATTAAACTAATAGTTGGAAATAGATAGAGATCGATTGTCAGCCCGGTCAATTTTCAGACTTTTCTGATTATTGGCAGCTTTAGATGATGATACCAATAATACCAGCTGCTGCCCTCTGTATTCTGCTCTCTGATTGGTTACACGTCATCAGTTATTAGTAATGGATCTCTCTCTCTCCCCACTGTGTGTGTGTGAAAGTAGCTCTACCCTGATGACTCGTCTCCGGAGGCGGTGGATTTTAGGAGGAAAGTGAAGTCGTTGCTTCATTTGGCCGCTCGAACACTTGCTCACCTCGACATCCCCTTCTGGCTCAGCAGTGGCACCTGTCTGGGTAACACGCTAGCATCACAGTACAACAAATATCTAACACGCCTAGCATTCACATTTCACAACAACATATACACCCACTAACATCACCAGTACAACAACCTATAACGCACTTAACATCACAGACAATCAACAACTATAACGCAATAACATCACAGTACAAAAAACAGTATAACGCGACTACATCACAGTACAACAACAATATACGCCATAACATCACAGGTACAGGACCAACAATCATATACGCACTAATCACTCACAGTACAAACAGATATAAGCATAACATCACAGCTAACAAAAATCATATAACGCGCACTAACAATCACAGTACAACAACATATAACATGCTAGAATTACGACTCCCTCTCCTTGTGTGTATGGGTGTCTCTCGCCCCCTGCAGGCTGGTTCAGGCAGTGCAGTATTATCTCATACAGTCGTGACGTTGATATCGGGATTTTCATCGCAGACTTCAGGTGGGACATCGTGGCAGCATTCAGGGACGCCGGCCTGTCACTCAAACACAAGTTTGGAAAGGTGGAAACTTAATTTTCTTCACTGATTTGATTAATACAGTCTGTACACTGTTGTAAAGTAGATTCTGAATCTGTCTGACCTTCATTGTGAAGCAGGTGTGTGTTTTATTTTGAAGCACAGGTGGAGGACAGTCTGGAACTTTCCTTCCTGAGTGACGACGTCAAACTGGACATTTTCTTTTTCTACAAAGACGGAGACGTCGTGTGGAACGGAGGAACACAGGCGAAGAGTGGCAGGAAGTTCAAGTGAATCACATTAAAATAATAATCAAACATATTGATATATATTAACCAATAAATAAGACCAATAGATGTATCAATAGTATAATCAAACAATGATAAATAAATTAAACAATAAATAATAATAGACACTCACTGATAACTAAAATACTAATATATGAGTGTTTCTCTCTCTCAGGTACGAGTTCCCGCGGTTCTCGCTCTGCTGGGCGGAGCTTCTGGAGCTGAAGGTTCGAGTCCCGTGTGAAACACTCGACTACGTGACGGCGAACTACGGCGCCACCTGGAGCGTCCCAGTGAGGAGCTGGGACTGGAAGTCGTCACCTAGCAATGTCCAGGAAAATGGGGTGTGGCCTCCAGCGGAGTGGGAGGAGCTTATTCAGGTTTACTGAGCATAAACAAACTGATGTCACCATGACAACAGACGGCCTCCATCTGAGTCCAGTGGAATCAATATCAAGATCTATGGAGCAGTTACTGTAGAACAACTATTTGTAAATGTGTGTATCTCAATGTGTGTGTGTAATCAGATTTATAATGTGTAAATGCAGACCTACATATTAACGTCTGAGCAGTGTATTTCCTCTAAGAGTTGGAAACGATGATCAGTTCAGGTCCGATGGAGGCCAGTCTGACGACAAGAAAGCTAAGGTGGTTTTCTTGTCAGTTTTGGTTCCTGGCACACCGGAGCTTACCCTGCCATGACCCCCTTCAGGCCTTCAGAGGGACAGATGCCTGACCTCCGTCTCTCCTGCCCCCCGCAGACGGATCTATGTACATATATGTATAAATCTGATCACAGACGAGTTACTCAAACTCTCTGCTCACATTTGTGAATATTGTAACAAGAACGGCTGTCGTTGTCAATGTTATTGATCTCTGATCACAGTCAATCAGTTCAAATGTGAATAAATATCAAAGCTCACGCGACTGAACGGAAATAAACAACTAAATGTGTTTTGATATCTCCCTGAATATTAATTATTACCGTAAAACTTGAGAACAGCCCAGGCCTTTATTGGGGACAGGCCTTTAATTCCTTCAGCACAAACGGAAATTCTCTGCTGCTTCTCTTCAGTTTGTTCAGTAAATTTGACGACTAACAGGTAACTTACAGGTCGTACTTTTTCCTCAGTGACACTAAACGTGAACGTGGTTTTACGACAGCCGGCATACAGACAGCAAACAGACTACACAGGATAATATTCACAACTATTAATTTAATGAAACACTTTGTTCTGATGGACCCTGACAGACTAAAGGAATATAAATAATGGAGGAACAGACCGTACGGACATGATCTGGTCTCTCGTTTACAGCGCCGCTGAATCTGAATGAACGTTAAACTTTAATGTTCATAGTTTCAGTAAAATGAAGGATTAAACTGATCCAACGATGTGCAGCATCCATACTACAGAAGGTTAAACATTATATCTTTGGATCTAAATGGCTTAAAGCAGCGACCCGCTGGGTTTAAGAGGTTTTATACATCCAGACCAGGCCTCTATTGGAGACCCAGCTTTTACAGTATTATTGATGCAGATGAAACATGAAGAAAGGTGTTTCTCATAACTTTTATTATTTGTACTGATTTACATTAATATAGAATTAATACTTATGTATTTTGTCTTCAAACATTTTATTTCTCATTTTGTCCTGAAATCAAACCTTACGTTTGTGTTTCACAGAAAAATAATAATTCTAATAAACGTTTCATATGAAGTCATAAGAGCTGCATGTTGGCCTCCTGCCCCCCAGCCTCCAGCCCTCT